AAGTTCTGCCGGAGATGGGAGTTGAAGCTCCGTCTCACAGGGGACKCCGCCAGACGTTCCCAGCAGACCCTCACTACCCTTTCACAGGAATCCTAAAAAAGGAAATTTATCTCTTAAATCCATTTTTAAGCATTTTTAAATTGACGTGATGCTGAGTCAGCGAGCRTGAAAGTGACAGTGAGAGTCACACACATTTTGTTGTGTATGCATGTGTGCTAGGCAAAAAATAACCTGATCCCACCCTGACAGAACCAAGAGCTAAAACATATGGAAGTGAATATTTAGGACAAGCTATTGTAGCTGTTCTCTTAAGACAATGAAACATCATTTAGTTTGCACTAATAATTGATTTAACGCTTCATTAATTTACCGTCCACCCACACTGTGTGGTCTACAATGAGTTGACAATGAGTTGTTGTGAAAAGACAAAAATAGARAGTGCGTTATTACAAACGTATGACRTCACGAGTTACTGGAATCAGACATTTAACAAAATTAGCACAAGTCATTTTGAGAACAATGGTTTGTTTTAAAAAAAAAAACAAAGGTTAAGTAATCAGGGTTGTTCATTAGATCAAACTTAATGAGTCATGATTAAATATCCAACAAACGGCTGTTTTTTGTTTGTTCAGATAATAAACCGGGATGTATCTCAGTATAATTAATGTTTTTAGTGGATTTCCATACATTTAAAAAGGACACCTTTAGGCCTCCATAATTCATTCTTACACTTTAATAAAGGGGGTTTGCACAGACAAGGTTTTTTGTTCTAACAATACAATTGAAGTTATTTAATGTAAAAATGTAACAGACAACTTAATTATTTATATAGAATGTGTTGCATTGTTTCATTTTTAACTTTACTTTAATATTCCAGCAGGCTTTGGACAAACTTTATTTGGAGAAAAGGGCATTGATGTCTCTTTTTATCGTAAAAGTTGCCTTGTCTAAAAGGAAATTTTTCATCTTCTAATTAAGTCTTATTAAATGGATGATGACATGGAGTTTTAAGCATAACATTCCACCAAAATCTTTAGTTAAAATGCATTTATTCAAGCCGTAAAGTAGCAATAAATATCTAAATGTAGTTGGTTGTATTTGCTTTAATGCTTAATCTTATCAGTTTGCTGTTTGAGTTRATTTAAACTGCATCTAATGTTAATCATTCAAAAAAAAATTTCAATCTGAGTTTTTTTTGGGTTAAAGTTTGAATTTCAGAGGAATATTTGTGACGCTGGCGAAACTGTACCTATTATTTTTTCTTTTAAATAATTAAAAATCTCTGTGCATGTCTTAAAATAAATGACAGAACCAAAAAATAGTTCTGACAAAAAAAAGGGGAAACACTTGTTCAGCTGTTTGAGCTTATTCTTAGAGCGGAAGTAAAGTCCRCTATTTCCAAATTTGAATGCGGTGAAGGTGAACCACAGTGAGTGAATGTTGTAAATACTCTGAGGACAAACTGAAGGTGCTTTAAACTTGTCAACAGTCAAACATTTAAAATCCTGTCATGTTTTACAGGAATGCACATCACCCAACAAAACTAAAATCATCTAAATGGGGAAATGAGTTGAGCAGTTTTTGTACAACCTAAATATTATGTGATCTGCAGAGATTTTAAGCTCAGATTATCCRTTGATAATAACAATCAGCTCATACCACACCAAACTTTAGCTCCACATCTGTAAAAGTAGCCGAATCACAGCCATTTTTTTTCCAAGACCAGTTGGCAGCCATCTTGAACTTGACTGGCTCCAAAAGTGAATCAGTTGTAGACCCCTGGTGATTATTTCCTGACAATATCATTAAAATCTGTTCAGACATTTGTAAGACATTTTGCTAACAGACAGACAAAAAAGATAAATAATTAAACTGCAGTCATTAAAAAGATTTTGATGCTGTGGATGCACGCCTGACTGATTTTCTGCAGGTTTTGTTAAAGTTCGTCCAGTCGTTCATGAGATATTTTGCTGACATTCAAAAACACCATTAAAATACAAATAAATAAAACATTATAGCCTGTCAGAAAAGGGRAAAGCAGGTAATAATGATAATATATAAAAATCTGCCTTAGAATTTATGACAATATAAAAACATATTTGACATACTCTTGCTTTCAGAGGGGAAGAACGTGTTTATATTTTCACTCAGCACAAGTTATTGGAAAACTATGCAAATGTTTGGTTTGAAGCGGATTTCCCATTAAAATGAAGGGGGCTGAAAATATCTGAGGGATTTTTCTCAGTTCTGTCACAGTGTTAGAAACGAATAATCTAATTTAACATCTTTACAATAATGCTGACAAAAAATAATTTGTCTGGTGGACATCATCACCATCATCATCATCATCATCAGCAGAGGGAACCTCCAGGAGGCCTGCACAGACCAGTTTGATGACGTAGCAGGGAACCCTGATGGTTGGGAAATCCCTTCTCTGTGTATAAAACGAGGAGGCACCTCAGAGAGAGGCACGTCCTTCAGCTCYGTCAGCCCCAAAGCATCAGCAGAACCTCGGCCGGTCCTTCCCAGCAGCATCATGCCCTCCAAACACAGTAAGTCACTCAGTAGTTCCTCTATAAAGCTTCCTTTTATTTTAGTTGTGTAACTTTTTTTCTCATTCATTCAACCAACTGTCCCTTTCACACATACTCAGCTCTGCGCATGCTCCTGGCTGCGACTCTCGCTGCGCTGCAGCTGAGCGCGTCCGGCGCGCCGCTGGAAGGTGTGCGCACCAACCGCACCACAGATGTGCAAGGCTCAGGTGAGGAGGGCGAGGACACCCGTAACCTGCAGGGAAGTTYGAACATTTTCAAAATCTGGAATCAGGCCATTACACAGACTAAACGCCACAAGGAAGAGGTGAGACATTTATATTTGATTCTTAATTTATTGATCTATTTTTAATTGAGTTTGTCTTTGGCCAAATATCTCATGAAGCACTGGATTTTATTGAAACTTTCAGGACATATTTATAGGATATCTGTCTATAACTGATACTTTTGGGGTTAATTGAAGATTGCTGCCACAACCAACTAACTTTAGAACAGTGGTTCCCAAACTTTTCAGCTTTTGACCCACAAAATAACAGTAGCAGAGACCTGTGCCCCCAACCATGTTTGGATGATAAACATTTGTATCAGGTCAACAAAACATGGGCATAGTAACACTATTTTTATACTACATTTATCCATTTTAAATTTACTAACCTCACTCCTTTGTAACAACTAAGGCAAAAAAAATGTAATTAATTCAGAAAATCTTTTCAGGACCCCACCTTGATGTTTTGGGACCCCCACTTTGGGTCCCGACCCCAACTTTGGGAAACACTGCTTTAGAACACATAAAAAAGGGCTTATAGAAATTTGCTTGGAAGTAATTCCTGCTTAAAACTAACAAATACTCCAGGTTCTAAATATTTGATGAGGTCTTTGCTTAAAATTTCAGCATTTTTCTTGGAGTCAATCTCCTTTATCTGTTAGCAAAATATCTCATGATGAAATGCAGAAATTTCAATGAAAACTTCAGGAAATAGATCTGTAAATGTGACAAATTATCAAGGTTTGATCAAAGCAGCTAGAACTCTTCGTGGAGTCAGTCTGAAAGTTTGAAACGTGGCAGACGATTTCCTTAAAAATTAAGTATTCAATCAAAAACCTGGATGTCAAGTTCATGTGATCTTTTCTTCTGTTGTCAGTTTAATAAAGAATTTCAAGGCGTTGTGGAATACATCTCACTGGAAGAACACATGCACCACTCGTTCCCCAATAACTGCCGCTCCAACTTCGAAAAGGTACTGTTCACTCTGCATTAACTGGATAAAGTGGAGGATTGTTTATTTATTTTATTTTTAATGTTCTCTCTGTTGACCAGGAGGCCTGTCTTCAGATGCTGGCTAAGGGTCTGCTCACCTACATGGTTCTCCTGAAGCACGTTGACAAGGAGTACCCCAACAACTCCATAGTGACGGGGGTCAGGGACAGTGTCCCTAAGCTGATCCAAATGATCAAATCAAAGGTAGGTCCGCATCGAAAAGTCGCCACAATTCTAAACTCACTTTGTAAAACTCTGAGGAAATTTTTGATAGTTTGATGCATAGCTGTCTCTTGAATCAGAAACAGACTAAATGCAGTAACAAGCCTGTGCAAAAGTTTTAAACTGAGAGCAACATTTAAATYTGGATGTTTCTACTGTTTTATGTTGGAAAAAACTACAAGTTAAGATCCTTTGTTTCCAGTTTGGAAGAGAATATTTTGAGCTAAAAATKTAACAAGTTTAAGGAAGCTTGCATATGCAATCTCTGGACATTTGCGAGAAAATTCTGTTTTGTTGTTAATTTATACAAATAAAAACCAAAAAATGTGGGAATCAGGTAACGTTGAGCTCTGTGTTGTTGTTTTTTAAAGTAAAATAAAAGCGGAATCCATGAGCAGGAAAATAACATGAAYGCACAATAAGAGCATCAGTGATGCTGTATCAAGTGTGTAATTTCTGGTCCACAGATGAGGAGCAGCCAACAGGTCAAGGCGATGACCAGCAGCGAGGAGCAGCAGCTGCTGAAAGAGCTCGATAACCCGGACGCCTTCACCCGRAAGATGAGGGCGCACAGCATCCTGTGCTACCTCAACTTCTTCCTCATCGACGGCGAAAGGTCGTTTTATCGMTATGAGACGCTCAGAAATCAAGCAGCTCACGCCAACACCACAAACTAGTTGTGAGCTGCGAGAAGAAATGTGATGCTTTTATTGTGAAGGAATATGAGACTTAGGTTGCTGTTTGTTCTTCTCATGAAGTGTCTGTGCTGTAAGCCTGAGGGCTCCAGTTTCTCATCACAAATTATTTAATCTATTTATAAATTTAAATGTTATTTATTAGAGAAGCAATGACTGTAGGATTAATTTAAAAGGAATCTAAACTTTGAAGTGATTTTGATATTCTAATGACAGCTAATCTAAGTAGCTGTTTGCAACTTTTCTTTTTTAAAAAAAGTTACCTTTTCTATTCTTATTTTTTTAAATAAAAAAATGTATCGTTTTGCATTTTTTGATGCAAGTATTTTAGACGTATGCTGAAATAAAAAATATATATTTGCATAAAAAAGTGTTTCTTCATTTAAATCACCACACGTTTAAAACTCCCTGTTAAATCTATGACTGAGTCAAATCAGGATCTCATTTGTCACAGACATACTTTAAAATACTTTTACTAAAAACAGGACCACTGTGTCACTCATTTTTAGAATTTATCATCAAGAATTTTAAATTAGAAAAAAAATAACATGAATTGGACAGTGGATCCAAACTGAACATCAAAAATTCATGAACAAAACAACAAATTTTCTGGGACAAGAAAGCCCTGAACACCCCGACTCTCAGTACAAGTGTTTTTTTTATACTTTTTAACATCTGTTTATACATATCCAACACTGGGTTGTGTGATTTATGGAGCGAGACATCAGAAACGGTGTCTGTTTCCTGCTTTTCTAAGACATGTCACATGGTCTTGATGGAAGGAAGGGRTTGGCTGCGTGAAGTTGGTCCTCAACCCCATAGCAAACTAGGAAAACAAAACAGAAAAAAAAAAAACATTAGCACTAATGAACTACCTGAAATCTCCAAGTTTTATCTTCACAATACTTTGYTTTAATGTTGCAAACTTAAACCGTCTTTTTTGATATTTTAATCCTAAMTATTCAAACTTTTAAAAGCTCTCTGAAAACATAGCTTCTCAACCCGATTTTTGTTTGCAATAATAAATTTAAACATTACTWATTTATTCATTGTTAGGAGGTCTTGTATATTATAAAGAATAATAAAGAAAAAAAACTGTCCCAAATATGCATATCTGCTTTATAAATGTGTACTCCAGTAGATTAAATCATAAGGGCGGCTGCCAAGGTGAATTATTGAAGTAGAAGTCTACAATAAACTAATGCACATGGCAAAAAAATACAGTTTTGCACAAACTATTTTCTCACAATATTGAGTCCAGTTTGAGTTGCTGACGACCCGAATTGATACTCAAGTCTCACAATAACACCACTGGTATCAATTATTCAACAAGTATTAGTAATTTTTCTTCCAAAATATATCTTTTTCTTCCAAATATTCAAATTCCTTCCACCATTAAAAACAGATACTTTACCTCTTTGCTTCAGATACTTGAGTTCACAATAATTAGGACTTAAACGGACTACATACTAGGGCTGTGTATTGGCAAGAATTTGGCGATACGATACATATCATAACAGAGGGGTCACGATACGATATRTCCCGATATATTGGGATACTGTAAGCAAGGCAATATATTGCGATATATTGCGATTTTTTTTACCAAAAATTCTATTAAATAAAAACCTCTTACTGAAAAAAAAAAGAAAAGCTAATGTTTACTTACAATGCTAATGCTACCCTTACTCTCTGGCGCCAAAGAGGTAGAGGAGCCAAATGGCTGGCTCACTGCTGCCAACTAGTGGTCAGAGGCTGAACTACAACACAAAAATGAACGATTGGCAAGAAGGCTGACATTTTAAACCTTAATTAAAAATCGATACAGGGCTTTAGAATATCAATACAGTATCGGGAAATGAAATATTGCGATATTTCAGTGTATCGATATTTTCTTACACCCCTACTACATACCAAACTGAACCAGCTGCACATTCAACTTCACACTTAACGGATTAACTTGAGCTCCTTAACAGAAGCCAGAGATGACTGATTACCAGAAAATTAGTTATGAAGTCTTGTCAAGAAGAGTGGAACAAGTACCTGCAGAGCTGAGGGAGGCGCATCTCTGCTCTTATGAAACCGTCCTGTTCTGATTATTTACCACTCAAATGTGCTCAGTTTTAGATTTTGATATATTTGTTTGAAAATATTAGTAAAATAAAACTCATGTCAAACAAGAAATCCTTTCCCCCCTTTTTATTAACACAAAAAGTTAGAGGATCAGATTTTGTGGCAAATTATTAAATGTCAGATTGTCAGAACATACACACATTTGATTTGTCCTAGGAAGACATACTGTAACTACTTTCAATGCAATATCTCATAAAACTAAAGCTGAATAATGTTATTACCTGGGAGAAACAGAAATAAGGAGACGTGGATATTTTACATCTTTAATTGGTTTTTATGGTACCAGACTATCAAAGAGATGGTTTTGGTTTATGAACCACGACAACCCCTCAGATCCTCTAATCTCTCTCCTTTAGCTGCTCCACAGAGCAGAAGAGGATTCTGCTTTTACTCGTTACACACAGGACCAGCCTGCCAGAGGATCTGATGAGTCCAAAATCRTCACTTTTAAATGTAGATTAAAAACTCAACTGTCTGGATTTTACATTGCTTCATCCTATAGACTTTTATAAAAAAATGGCATAGAAGTTAGAAGTTCAAGTTCATTAATGAGATTAAAACTAAAATAAAGACAGAYGACTACATTATGACTGAAAACTAAAAGAAAACTGTCAAAACTGTCAGTGAGTCTGTCCCCATTTGTCCTCACCTCAAAAGAGTTGGTTCAGGCATGCCTGGATCTGCTCCTCGTTTGAAACCTGCAAAACAAAACAGCACAAGAATAAGAAAGCTGGTTTCTATCTTAAAATCAAATTTGAAATGTTTTTGATGATGCAAGACAGAATTTAGTTTTTATTTTATTAAACGTGGCAGAGAACAAAGCCCAAATTGAAGTGTGGAAATCGTTAAAATCCAGCATAAAAACAACACATAATACAGCAATTGAGCTGATGGGACGATGTCATCATTACTTAAAATTGGGACAAATATGAATTAACACAATGTTTGATCATATTTAATAATTGTGCAAGGATTTAGGAACTGAGGTCAAATAAAAAAAACAGATATAATGCTTTCTTTCATAGTATTTTAGCATAGATTCTGCTTTGTTGTGCTTTTCTTTTGCTTAAATTTGTTCAGTAGGTGATCAAACTAAACAGCAAAAATGCTCAACTTTACTACAAAAGAATGCTGCAGTTTTTCTACGCTTGTTTTAACAAGCTGGTGGATCCTGTCTTTTGCCGTAAAGATGCAGTATCCATAGTTCTTTGAATAATAACCGATTGTAGTTCATTGTGTGCAAAGCTTTCACCAAAAACATACAACAAAATAACTTGTTGCGTAGCCTCATGCATAATTCCAGAGGGTGCAGCTTCAAGAGCCAAATATGCTACTAATTAAATTAGCAGGTTGTGTACACTGATCCAGGAATTTTGYTTACCAAGACAAATTTGACTGACAGTAACTTTGACCACCTTTCCTGTAACATGTTAATATATCTTTTAGGAAACAACAATGTATTATTGTAAACAGTTGATATAGTTTTCCAACATTTATGAAACTASTAGAACTGCAGCTGAAAAAGCTGTTTTGAGACAGTGCTCTGTCTGAATTTCAATGTCAGTAGATTTCAGAGGTGAGGTCAAAAGTTGAGAACATCAGAAAATTGTAAGCAGCAGATTCATTTCCTCTTTACGAACTGCTTAAATCACTGGTTTCATACAATGTTTACAATGATGCAACAGATTCATAGGAAAAGAGGAAAGTCCTAAAAGTATAAAAATAACTTTGCATTACTCTAAGGAAATGGTGTGTTACTTTCACTGAGTTTTGCTGACTCAGTAACAAATAACCAATTGCAATGAGAAACTGAAAAATGGTGTCACTTTTTCCCAGGAATGAAATAATTTAAAGATGAACAATTCAGAGGCTCATTTTCAAATCACTTGTTGCTTTCAGCGCTATGACAGTCATATCTTAAAAGAAAAAGACTGAGTTTATTTTTTTTTCACATAAACAAATAAACCACAAATGGAGAAGTACGCTTTTAAAAATAGACAATGTTACATCAGAGTACTGGTGTTTCCAAAATGCTGAAGCCTCAGAAGTTCAACCTGTACGTGGTGTGCACAAAAAGATTCAACTTCCCCATCTGTTCTGCACACAMCACAGCCATGCAAAGATCTCAAGTTTCACTAACAGCTTCTGACCACAGCCACGTTACTCCTCCAGACATATCTCAGGAGGAACAATCTAAACACAACCTAATGGGGACGTTCAGGCCCATGGCTGAGCTAGTTCATTCATTTAAAACCAAGTAAACGTGACGTAGARGACACCACCTGACCAGTTTCAAACCAACTGAGCTTGTTACACTACTAAASACACAAAAGGTTTAGTTAATATTCATAAACTGTACTGCGACATCAATATTTTATCTCGTAAACAGAAAATTACATTGGTTTTGATTCCAAGCTAACGGCTAAGCTAGTTAGCTGACATTGGCTAACGCGGCTCCTCGGCTCCAAACATCTTTCTCTTTCATGTGTTCAGATACTGACCGAGGTACAGCACAGTTGGAATAAAACCCCATCGAATGACAAACTGGCCGCACTGGAACAGCTGCTGCAGCCGCTGTTTTGACTCCTTACTCAGTTTAGCCATGAGTTTATCCAGACAGACGAGGATCCAAGGACAGGAAAAAGGAAGTGACGTAACGTGTAACGCACCAAGTTGTCGCTGCTGCCATCTAGTGGCCGCACATGACAATGCAGGTCTTCTGTCAGAAAAACAACCTGCAAAACTTCAGAGGACACAGGTGCTTCCGGACCAGACGACTTGACAAAATTATATATTAAATCATAATTTTAAAATAWCTCATACCTATGACTTGGAGCATCWTTTTTTTTCAACTTCATTGTTCAAAATGTGTTTCCATAGTAAAGCCCTCTGGCAGATGATTTAAAAAAAACTTTATCAAACACACAATTGAAATATAGAAACACTTTATTCCCAGAAGTTATAGCGATGAGTTATTTTCAGACAAAAAAAAGGCCAACATAACCAACTTCATTTTAACAGTAAGATGTACAACAATAGTCATTCACTGTAAACCAACATAAACGAAAGATGATTGGTATTGTTGCACCAAGCTAGACACTCAACAGCTACAAAACACAGAGTGCTGCCATGTGGAGCAGCACGAATACTTGATTTAGGACATCAATTGTAGCAAATGGTTTTCTTTTCTTATCACCACGTCTTRCAACGTGATGACAGCGTAATATACAAGGGAGGCAGGAACCACGTCACAAATATCTGAAATGGTGGGTATWTTAAAACACATAAAAGATACCTTGTCGCCCCAAAAGTGCCTCTATTTGCCAAACACCAAAATATAATGAAWGCAAGAAAATGACTGATTTACGTGGTTTTTAGACTTGTGTGGTTAGATGCAAACATACAAAAGTTGAGAAGGAGTTTATGGAGCAACAAAGCATATTTGTCCCAGAAAAAATACAACATGAGAGTCAAACCTCTCGTTCATACAAAAATACCAGAGTTGATAACACAACTGATTTTCATGTGCAAAATTTAATACTCAACTAATCATTCACACCCATCAGTCCCCAAAAATGTAAAGCGACTTTGCCATTTGTTACACGACAATTAAAGGAAGGTGCTTAAAGAGCAAAGAAGAAAGGAAAGTATTGCTTCTCCATCCTGAGAAGAATACTGTGTGATTGTAAACAAAAGACCCGATTCTTTTCAGAGTGCTTGATTATTAAATGGGTTCTATTTTATGCATTTTAGAAAAAATAACTTCTTTTACAAAGCATGTTTATAACACCTGACAAATGTAGACAGAAGTTCAATAAATCCACCCAGAACAAAAGAAAACAAATAATAAAATTAGAAAAAAAATACTGAAAATAATCTATTTGTATTGCTATGGGAAGGAATTACTAGTATTAAAAAAGTAGTAGAAATCTGTTTGGATTAAAAGAATCACACCTTGTTCACTGTTGCAATCAGCAGCCTTTTTCTAAAAACATTTGTAAACACACACACACACACACACACACACACACACTAACAGTACATCTTTCTTCAGACACACCGGGGCAAGGTAAGGATGGATGTATGGTAAAGCCATACAGGGCAACAAATGCCAGTTTAATTATTTTCAAGCGCTTTTCTCAAACAGTTTTTWCTGATCGTTTTAAGTGCATTCTTTTCCTGACAGGYTGCACAGTTTAGTCCTGTCCTGACATCGACTATAATTGTGTTCTCACACCTTCCTCTATGAGGCTGAGATGAGACTCTGTGGGGTGGGGGGAGGGGGGAGGGGGAGGAGCTGCTCTAATGTTTGAATGAAGCTGGTTTACAGCACAGACAGTTAAAGAAAATGGAGTCACGGAGAGAACAGGCGGAGTTTTTCTTCACTTGTTTGTGGTCAGCTGCAGTTGGCATGGCTTGGAGWTTCAGGTCACAGGTACAGGGTCACAGGGTCAGAGATGAGGGTTCATACAAAGARTTCAAAGGTCAGAGCCGAGCAGCAGGCTGATGCTGGGGGAGCGCTGGGTGTGGTTCGGYGCAGGGCTCAGATAGCCCATCCCCTCTTCCTGCAGGCTGCAGGAGTAGCGACCCACCTCGGAGGCCGTGTGGTTGGCGGTGGGAGCAGAGCTGCTGCTGGCCACGTGCTCGAAGGAACGAGAGAAGACGGCACTGGCGGTGCGCGTCAGGCTGGTGAGAGCTCCCCCCTTGGGCACCGACTGGCTGGAAGTGAGCGTGAGCCGCTTGATGGACAGCTCCGTGTTCTCGCTCGCGGCCCGCCCCGTTAGCAGCGGCCCCGCTTCCTTGTCCTTGCTGTTGCGCCCGCTGAGTCGACACTTCTTCATGGCCTTGGCCCCCAGGTTCAGTGTTGTGGTGCTGTTGCTGATCGTGATGGTGGGAGGGGTCATATCAGGCCCCATCCCACCTGGCCAAACTCCTTCATCCACCTCAGAAATATCCATCAGCTCATCCGGGGAACCCAGATCCACTGCGTCTRTGAGGCAGACACATAAACAGGCATGAAAACAGAAGCAGATGTTCAGTCAATTCAACGACAGAAAATATAAAATCTTTCATCTTTTCCTTGAATTAAACTGTGACTGGATGTCAGAGGATGTTTGTTCTCCAGCAGGTGGCGTTTTCACACTGCAACAGAAATGCCTCACCGTCTGACAGGGAACTGGAAGTTCCAGTTCAGCATATATGAAAGTCATGAAGAGTGCTGTGAGAAAACAGCCAGGAATTTACAGGTACAGGTGGGAATGTTTCGTCCCAAAGGAAAGCAGGAATAGCGTCTCAGAGCTTAAGCTTTGGAAAGGCCATAAAAGGGAAATGAAGGAAAGCAAAGCTCAAATTTCTACCATATAGTCTCTTTTTTTTACTCTAAACAGACAAACATGAACTATCAGYCTATTTGTCCTGCTTTCTTTAAGACATGCACTCAGAGCACAAATAAAGCCTGATCTGATTCTATCACCAGCACACAGCTGACAGACAGATAGAGTCTTGATGGAGTTTAAACCTGCTAAAATCAGCTCAGGAGACACATACTTCTCRTATCTACAATTACATTCAAGACCTGCATATCTTTCTTTTGTTCCTGGCCACCAATCKGCCGCAAATAACCTGTTTCCAGGAGCAACCCAGGATAAATGTGTCGAGGTGTTYGAACCATTCACTCGCGTACAAACCCAGAACTCTATGAGCAATGTTAAAAACTACTGACAGATCATCAAAGCCTCATAATTTCACATCACATGGACCTTTTAGACACTAGCAGCCATGGGAGTTATTTATAAATATATAAAGACTAAAAAGCATGTCATATTTATGCAAAAATTTATTTATAAACCTAAAGCGTCACTAATAATTCCATATAGTGTTCTCACATCACAGATTTTTACAGTATGATTCAACCATTCGGTAGRTACAGATAATTTTTATTGCTTTGATTTGATGAAGATTCTGTAGGATTAATTTGGCTTTAGGGAGTTTCAGGAGCTGCTGTTAATGAGGAAGCTTCAGCCACGAAGGACAGAGTGAATAAATGAGTGACAATGGATAGACAGATGAGAGGAATGAGTGCAATTAGGCCAAGCCAGTGTGTTGGAGCCCAGCGCCAAAGTTAAAAGGAAAGTCACCGTGCAGCTTTTCAGATCACGCCTCCACACATTGGTTACCTAGGTTACCCCGTGAGTGGGGCGGGGGGAAGGAGGGGCTGGACCTTAGTGCGGGCTCCTCCCTGCGGAGGCCGACCCAGAACCCTCATTCTCCACCAATCGCCTCAGAGACTTTTGCCTCCTGACCTCCTGACTCCGACTCCCAGATTCGTGGCTTCGTGCGTCTAGGCTGACTTCAGGGGAGGCGCCCGACGCGTCGCCGTCTAAATGGCGCGGCCGCAGGGAGTCTCCATTAGCCATCCGGTCGCCGTTTACGCCAGTCACATTGATCTCCGGGATGGCCACACCCGGATCTCCGTCTATACTC